GATGAAGAGTTTGTGGAAATATCCTCTTGAAAGCCTCCTAATTTTTCGAGATTTTTGTGTGGAGAGGAAGGAGGAATTTTTAGTAATCTAGAGAGAGTTTGTGAGGTGTGTGTGTGTGTGTTACTCACGGCCGAACAAGAAGAGGGAAGGAGAGAGATAGAGTTGCATGGAGAAATGAGATGGCATGGAGGTTTGGAGGGTAATGCATGGATAACCACCATATAATAAAGAGGTGGCATGCATTAGTCAACCTTCCTCTTCTCCTCTTGGATTTGGGCCTTGGGCCGAGAATTTGGATGGAAAAGGAGAGATTTGGGCTTTAAAGCCCTCAAGCCCATATAGAAGTTAAGTTGGATGAGTTTTGATCTAAAAGAAATATAATATGATCTTCACACTTGGTTGGGCTAGTTTAAGTTAATCATGATTCAAAACTTTTAATTTATTTCATTCTAGGCCCAATATGGCCCAAAATGTTAAAATAAAATAATCTGGGTCCAATTAGAGCCCATGATAGTCAAATTGGAAGCTTATTGGTCCATTTGGGTCCAATAAGGAAGTCCTAGTCCAAAATGGACTTAAACGAGGACTTCTAGGGTTTCCAATTGGTTGTTGACTATTTGTAGCACTTGCATGATGTATTTGATTGAAGTTTTTGATGTCATTAAATAAGCATCACACATGCTTTTAAGTTTTTGATTCAACCTTTACTTGAGTGTAGTGATTACAAGACACAGAATTTCTAATTGTGACACGCCGTGACTAGGATCGACTTCATCTACTATCGCTACTGTTATGATTTCCTTTTATATACTAATCTATGTATTATCAACTTCATGATTAAGTGATTACACTACTCATCGAGTCGTCACGCTGTCGGATTCTATTCATGTATTGTACGCCTCATATAGGCAAAATTTCATGTACTAAAAGCTTTTTACTAATGAAAGCAGTTATATATATTTTATCGTGATGTTGTTATCAGTTATGTGTGCTATTAATTTATTTCATGTTAATTGTATGCATCCATTTACAAGCAAAACCGAATCACCAAAACTTCTCATATAGGCAAATTTTCATGTACCAAAAGCTTTTTACTAATGAAAGCAGTTATATATATTTTATCGTGATGTTGTTATCAGTTATGTGTGCTATTAATTTATTTCATGTTAATTGTATGCATCCATTTACAAGCACAACCGAATCACCAAAATGTCTCTATAAGTAAGGAATCTCAAAACTAAAATACACTAAATACTCATCATCTTTCTGTTCCATGATAGAAAGATGCCTCAAAGACCGAATTGGGGAAACAACACAGCACCAACACCACCATAGGTAAACTCGGTTGCGTTCCAGACAGCAGTGTCAGTTGTGCTCACCGCAACAATGGCACAGATTCACAACGGGAATAACGGTGGAGGTAATGGGCAAGGAGCTGGAAGTTTAAATTAGGGGATGAATCAAGGACCTACAAAGGTATGTACCTACAAAGATTTAATGAATGCCAAGCCTCGAACCTTCAAAGGAAAGGGAGGCGTGATAACCCTAAGGCCGTGGATAGATAAAGTTGAATTGTTATTCGAGATCTACGGATGTCCAGAAGAGTGCAAGGTGAGGTTTGTAGCTTGCGTATTTGTCGACCAAGTGCTTTCCTAGTGGAATGGTCATGTGGAGGCCATGATACTTCCAGTGGCAAATGCTATGCCATGGGAGGAGCTAAAAGAAATGCTAATAGTGGAGTATTGTCCAAGAGGGGAGATCCAGAAAATGGAACAAGAATTGTGGAATCTCACAATTCAAAACTCTGACATTGATACTTACATCTTGAAGTTTAATGAGTTGTCACTCCTGTGCCCATACATGATCATGCCCGAAGGGAAGAAGATTGAAAGATTCATTTAGGGATTAACCTCTCCAATTCAAGGAAATGTAATAGCTGCAAACCCAGAAACATCCGACAATGCTAAAAGGCTAGCCAAGAAGTTGTACAACCATGGTAACAAGAAGGGTGACAAAGCTGGAGAAACTGAAGGCAAGAAAGAAGGAAAGGATAACAAGAAGAACAAAGACAACAAATGAAATAGGCAAAAAAGACAAGAGATCGACGAAAAAGCAGTAAATTGTAGCAGTCCATGCTACTACTGCTCAGGTCGCTTCAACACCACATGCTCCAGCCTCAACTACATCAACTACTACCAGGCAATACTCGGGAACCCTGACCACGTGTAACAAGTGCAACTACCATCACTATGGAGAATGCAGAGATATGCAGTGTACAAGTTGCAACCGTAAGGGCCATACTGCTCGATATTGCAGATCTCAGCCCCAACAGAACCAACAACCAAATAACAACAACAACAACAACAATAACAACAACAAAAATAACAACAAGAATAATGCTAGGGCTAGTCACACTTGTTATGGATGTGGAGAACCGGTCATTTCAGACGCAATTGCCCCAAGGCTAACAACTAAGGGGAAGGAGGACTAGGAAGGGTCCTGACGTTGGGTCAAGGTGAGGCAATTCAAGACCCGACGGTTGTTACTGCTACGTTCCCAGTTAACAACACTTTCACATGCATCTTATTCAATAACGGAGCCGAGCGGAGCTTCGTTAGTAACAAATTCAAACACTAACTAAGCCAACAACCCCAGAAGTTAAACGAAGCCTTCACGGTGGAAATGTCTAATGGGAAAACCGAAACAATCAGAGATGTTTTACGTAGGGTGCACATTAACACTAAACAACCATTCATTTCAAATAAATTTGATGCCAGTAAATGTTAGGAGTTTTGATGTGATAATCGGCATGGATTGGTTAAACCCCCACCGTGCTAATATTATGTGTCACGAGAAGGCCGTTCGCCTTCACCTCCCTAATCGAAAAACCCTAATAATCTATCGGTCAAATTCGGTCAAACTAGGACACAGGGTCAAAATTGTCGTAAAAAGAGAAAAAAAATCAACAATTTCAAAATTAATATGAATAATACACTTAATGATTTATTATTTAACACACACATGTGATTATTACTACATATATATATCTTAAATTTTTAGTAATTATTCACGAAGGGAGACATTTATGTGTATTTCAGTTTTTATGTATTCACATGTATCTAATTTTGTTATATATTTGCATCAAATTATGATTTTAACTTATGATTTTGACATATATAGTTTTCCTAAAAATATTTCTACATGAATTACCGAATCCGGGTACTCCTCGAGTACTGCTAAGTACCCGCTACTCGGTAGTCGGCCGAGTGGGTACCAAGTAGCGAGTTCTACGACCTTGACTGTATATATTATATATGATGTATGTTTAAGTGTATATGAAAAGTAGAATGTTATAATGATATGTTGGTATTTTTTTTATTTTGGTAATATTGGAAAGTACAATACTATTATGAGATGTTGGTAATATATTTTGTTTTCTTTATAGTTGGAAATGTTGCAAACAATAATAAATGACCCGTCTTGTTCTGCTATACTGGAAGAGTGCACTTATTGCCGCCACCAAATAATAACAAAGGAAATGATGAGAGTGATGAGGACGAGTAGCAACCTTTTTAGGATTTTATAAAATGTTTTATTTGGAAGAATATTTTGGATACATTGTACTTTGTTTGGAAGAATATTTTGGATTGGTTGTGTATGGATTAATATTTTGGGTTAATATTTCTATAAAATTATTGCAGCTTTTATAAATGTTGTATTGTCTTTTATAATTTTAATGTTAAATAAACTAAAAAAATTAAAATTATTTTAGCGACGACACGAACCTATTAGCAGCGACGAAACACTACCAGTGACACATAGCTATTAGTGGCCACAAACCAATAGCGACGAGACTTTAGCGGCCACCTTTTTGCAGCGACATGTTGTTGTTAATAACTTTAGCGGCGACAAGCCCTATCTTTCGCGGCGACCCCCGTCACCGTTGATATCTTCGTTTCTTATAGTGCTAATAGATAAAATAACTATAAATATATAAATATATAAAAAGAGAGATTAAAACCGATAATTAAAATTTGATTCTCATATTTGGAAAAATGAATAGTATACTCTGATAGTAATTTTCATATCTTCAAATATATATGAGAGAAAAAATGAGGTAAAATTTCTGAAGATTGGAGAAAAATAAAAATAAAAATAACATTTAGGAGTGGGTTGAAGAAGTTTTTAAAAGTTAATTTAGTCCGATAATGGTACATGTATATTAAAAAGAGTACAAAAATGATATATAAAGAACTCATATTTTATAAAAATAAAAGACCGGAAAAAACTGAAATTAAAGAAAAATAAATAAATGGATATTAAAAAGAATACTTAAAAATATATGAAGATTGGTAAAAACACTAGTTTATATATTATTTAAACTAGGTTTTTCTCAATAACCTATTTTGATAAAAATTCTATTTTTTAGATAAATTGTTTCAAATATCCGTGACATGTTTTCGGGCAATCGTCCAATCTATATGCATGCAGATCTTGGGTATCCCCGTCTACTACACAGTCAGCGGAGTTTCCAGTGCATTAATGGTCACTGCAAAATACTGCAAAACATGATAAATCCGTTAAATTATGATTTTATTTTAAAAATCATTTACTAATTAATTTGATCAGATTCAAATCATTTTATTATTTATTTAAAAAGCAAGTTTTATAAACAATATTTTAAAATTTAACAATATTCTGTTTATTTTAACGGTCACATATATGGTAAATTCGTAAAAGTAGATTTTAAAAAAAAAAAAACACAAAATCGTGCCTTCAAACAAAATTAGGTATTTATTTCAATGTTTGGAGAAAAGTGTTTGAAACTTTTAATGCAAAAGCATCCAAGACGGATAATAATTTTGTCAATATCTGGACACGTTTCTTACGCTTCAGATCATCTTCTTGCCTATATAAACAGATCTTCGGCATCTCCGCCTACATACTCATCAACATAGTTTCTTATTCATCAACCATCAACCATCAACATGCCTTCAACCATGCCCTCTTCCGCCGTTTCTCAAACTCCAAATCTTCAAACCCTTTTGGAATCCGCTAAGCCTTTCCTTCGTGAAGAATTCGAGAAAATCGATAAGAGGCTTCCTTCCCTAATTGGCATGTTATGCTCCGCCGGTGCAGGAGAGTGTTACCACCGCACAGGAAGCTTCCTCGACCACCTCCGCAATGTTTACCGCATTATCAAGCTATGGAATGCACCGGATTCCGTCGCACTGTGCGCTCTTTTCCACTCCGTTTACTCAAACTCCTACAGCGACATCCTTCTTTTCAACCCTGAAACCGACCGCGACTCCGTCCGCGGCCTTATCGGAGACGCTGCTGAGAGATTGGCTCACTTGTTCTGCATTATTCACCGCCAGTCTCTCATCCACAAAAACATCATGTGTCAGTTCACTGAGTCAGAACTTCGAGAATACCTTGACGCTTCTGAGGTTTCCCTGAGGAACGCAAAGGAAAACGGTGTGTTCAATGGTGAAGAGAAATGGCGTAAGAAGCTTCAAACACTTATCCCAGCCAACGGTCTGATCGGGAAGCATTACGAAACAGGCGAACTGGTCCCAGTTTCACGAAGAATGATCGGAATTTTTCTTCTGATGACAGTAGCCGATATCAGCGAACAATATTTCGGTTTTCAGGATGTTTTATACGATAACTTTAACGGGCGTCTTGAGCTAACAGGAGACAGCTTCGACACATTGTATCCAGGAAACGGTAAACCAGGTTTATGGATGAATGCAGCATCAAGAATGGCTGCAGTTTACACTTTGCTAGTGCGAGAAGAAGAAATTTTTCTTCAAGAAAACAAAAGGGATGATGGTGGGATTGATAAAGCAAGAGATGAAGATATCGAGCTTGTGATCCCATCAGTTTTCGACAATTGCACCAAGGTTCTGGACGCAAGTGAGCAGATCGAGGCAATGGATTTGTACTGGGATGCGGTTTACTACGATGGGCATGACAAGGTGAAGAAGGAGAAGGCAGGAGAGATGTTGGTGAAGAGTATTGAGAAGAACCCGTTTGTTGGAGAGCCTCATGTGTTATTGGCTCAGTTTTATTTGAGTCGAGAGAGGTTTGAGGAGGCTGAGATTGAGGCTGAGAAGGGGTTAAGTCTTTTGTTGCAGTGGGGGTGTTCATGGGACAAGAGGGTCTCATGGGAAGGGTGGGTTACTTGGACTAGGGTGTTGTTGAAACAGGCAAAGAAGAAGTCGTGGCCACACACTGCATGGGGTGTCATCAATTTAGGGTATGTCTTGTAGACGATCTATCTATGTACGCTTGTTTGTGCTAGAAGAATAAATGCATCACGGTGAAAAATGAGGGAGTTCCTTAGCTTTCTTCGTGTTTCTTTAGGTATTTTTGTATTAGAAAAAACGTGTAATGGTTACGTTGGATATTCCTATCTATGTGATGCCTTCTGAAATTGTTCTTCCTGTTCGTGTTAAAAAACACCTTTAGTTAAGACTAATTTTGTTAGCACTAGTACTGCTAACCAATTTTACAATTTATCAACATCTAAAACAATCAAAAATAGCTATAATTAAAAATTACTTAGATTCAAAATTGGATTAATTAAAAATATATAATTCAAAATAAGATAATCAAGTTCCTCTTAAAATCCAAAAATTTCATTTTAAAGAATTGTGTTTCCATATTGAAGATAATGCAAATATATAATATTACTTTTCTCTTAATTAAACTCTATTATTTTATGTTAAATGTAGTTATTTATTTATTTTTTCGTTTAACCGTTTGTGTGTAAAACACATTCGTTACCGTTATCATATATTAATAAATATTATTATTAGTAGTAGTATTAGTTTGTGTGTAAAACATATTCGTTATCATTATCATATATTATCATTATCTTAATAAATATTACTATTAGTAGTAGTATTAGTATCATTTTTAATTGTTCATATATAAAGAGATCCATTAATGAAAAAACATAAAAATAAATAATAATAATAATAATAATAATAATAATAATAATAATAATAATAATTAATAAATAAATAAATAAATCTGTCGGTATTCCGTATCTATTTTCCTCCGTCGGTAGTCCGTGGTTTTTCCGTAGCTAATTACCTACGGAATACATACATATTTACTTCCGTCACTATTATGTAGTTATTTTGTATATATCCAGTTACAAAATTAGGGCATCTCATTCCGTAGGTAATTACCTACGAAAATTTTCCATAATATATATATATATATATTTTTTTTTTCTAGGAAAACACATTATTTTCTAGTAGTGTTAAATTCACATGATATATATCATGTCTTGTGCAATACCGACCACGGAGGCCTTCGTGGTTGACGTTGCCATGGTCGTGGTCCATGTACACCACCCAGACCATTCGTGATTGAACGTTTTCGTGGAGGGATGTTATGCCGAAGACGAGAAATAACGTCCAATCATGGCTTCTTGACCGATTGAAGGTTGAATAGCTGTATCAACGATCATTTTTTCATTTTTTTAAAACAATCAATTTACCTATATAAATACTAATATATACAACCTCATTTTTTAATCCGTTCTTCCCTTTCTCTATTACAAAATTACATACATCTTTCTTCACAACCAAAAATTATGGATCCCAATCAAACTACACCCCCCCCCAACCCACAAAAAAAAAAAAAAAAAAAAAAAAAACTATCGCAACTGCAAACCTAATAACGCTTTTGTGTAAGATACAACTTCCCACCATTTCCCAACACTACAAGAAATCAATGCATTAGCGGCGACACAATTAGCGGCGACAAAGGCTTTTAGCGGCAACATTATACTATGTCGCCGCTAATTGTGTCGCTGCTAATGTCTTGTTGCCCGAATCCACGTTATCCCCTTCTGGTAAACCTTAGCCGTCCGATCGAGTATATAATCCAACGGTTGGGGCCTCGTTTTCGCACAAAAGAAATACCAGCGACAATTTGTCGTCGCTAAAGCTCGAAAAAAAAAGACGCGGCATAAGTTCCCTCGTTAGTTGTCGCCGCTATTGGCTTGTGTCGCCGCTAAAAGTCGACGCAAATAACAACCATTTTCTACTTTCACAGCTTTCATTTTTCTGTGTTTTTATCCATTCTCTTCGAAGATTTGTGCTCAATCGAGTTTCCCAGAGGCTAGAAGACATACCGACGACGCCTATAGACCACCGGAAACTCCCCACTTCCACATCTCCGATGATTTAACTGTGACATTAATTCCGACACTGTTGTTGTCGATTTCCTCTATGGTTTGTGTTTTCGTTCCTCTTTTCTTCTCTTCCTTATCTTTTAATGTCGATTTCTACTTGTATTTGTGATTAGTTGCACAAAATTGTTTCTTTTCTCTTTTGACCATAATTCCAAACCTAATTGTTTTTTTTTGTTGGTTTTTATTGTCTTAAGTTACACCACCACCACCAAGAACTGTTGCAACATCGAAGACTACCACCACCAATTGAAAGAGAGCAAAATTTTGGGAACCACAGGTGCATTTTTTGTAATTTGTTATATATGTGTGTGTTTTGTGTATATATATGTGTATTTCATATATGTGTGTGAAATATGTTATATGTATGTGTATGAAAATTATGTGTATTTCATCTATGTGCATGTATAAAATGTACATATACATGTGTATAATGTATGTATGTATGCATTTGTATGCAATTTGGATTGTGTTTATGTTGTTTTATGTGTATAAAAAGTATATATATGTATATAATGTATGCATGTATGTATTTATAAACAATTTGGAGTGTGTTGATGGTTGTTTTATGTTTATAAAAAGTGTGCATATATGTGTATAATGTATGTATGTGTGTATTTGTATGCAATTTGGAGTGTGTTGATGGTTGTTTTATGTGTATAAAAAGTATGTATATATGTGTATAATGTATGTATGTGTGTATTTGTATGCAATTTAGAGTGTATTTGTATACAATGTGTAAACTACAATGTTATAATGGAAAAAAAACAAAAAACAAGTAGGATGTTATTATTGAAAATGTTATTTAAAGTAAACTACTATGATAGTTCCTACGTAATATGTATTTGTAAATAAATTGGTAATTATTAGTTTGTTGGTTTGTTAGTTTGATTGTTGGTTTAATTTAGAAGGTTAATGTAGTTAGTTGGTTTGTTAATTTAATAGCTTGTTGATATATAGATAAATTAGTAATCGGTAGTTTTCTTATCATTTGGTAGTTTTTAGGTTGGTTTAAGTTAATATGTTAAATTACAATTTTATATGTTGTTATTTACTATGTAGTTGGAGAATCTTATACCAATGTCCAACAATTCGGAGAATACTATGGAACTTATAGGAGGGAACGAGGGTGGCGGTGATGACGACACGTAGTGTTAGTTTTATCTTTTATTAGAGATTGTAGTACGAAAAAAATTTATAAGAATTTTGTTATTTATTTTGGTGTATGTATGGTATTATAAAACTTGGATGTTATGTATCGTTTTTCTGCATTTAACGTATCGGTTTTTCTGCAGTTAGCGTTATTATGTATCGGTTTTTTGACAACTGGAAATGGCTGCTTTAAAAAAAAAAAAATTTAAAAAGCCGGCAACACTCTTAGCGGCGACATTATCATTAGCGGCGACACGTATCATTAGCGGCAACATTATCATTAGCGGCGACTTTTTGAGCAATAGCGACAAAGCAGTAGCGGCGACGTGTTGCCGACAAAGGTATTAGCGACGACTTTTGTGAGCAATAGCGGCGATTTTTGTCGCCGGTAATACCCTTTTTTCTTGTAGTGTAACCATAGAATCACCTCAAAGTAGTTTTGTGAATTTGCTCCAAACCGGTTCCCCTATTCAAATTACAAAACTTTTCAAACAATAGTTCCAAACTTTAATTTCTCGCCTTATCAACAACAATTTCATTCGAGTTTCGTATACCAACAACTTTTCCACAACAATCACAACCACCACCTTCAAAACCCTCTTTTTTGCCGTATTTTGTGTTGGAAACACAACCTTCACCACCACTACCACTCCAACAAAAAAAGGAAATAAATCGTCCAAACCAATACAACCGATAGGGTTCCATGGACAAAAGAGAAAGAAGAGAAGCTAGCGGAGGTGTGGGTATCAAGTTCCCAAGACCCGGTTGAAGGAGATAGTAAAACATTTAATTGATTTTCGGAGAATGTAAGAAGTGTATTCTACGAGTTAATGGGAAGTGAAAGTCGAAATCCCAATCAAATTAACTCGAAGTGGCGCGATTTGAGGTTAAAATATACCGAATTTGGAGGAATTTACAACAACCTACTAAAAAATGGGTTAAAACATGGCTTAAATTAAAGGGGATCCAAAATGAAAAGTGCAAATTGAAGGAACTTCACAAACCTGTTTTGGTTCAAAGTATTCAATACACCCCGATTGCAACTTCCCAACAATCAGACGAGCACACACATATAGATATCAATGGTGATCCGATAGATCATGAAGACAAGCAACCTGTTCGTCGGCCAGTTGGTAGAAATAAAACAAAAAGCGGGTTCATAAACTTCGGGTTCTAGCATTTTCGATCATTTTGGAGACAAATTAGATCGATATATCCAAAGAGAAGAGACCAAGACAGAGATGATGAGCCGGGTGAGAAAGAAAATGCTAGAAGCACAAACATCATTTTAAGTGGCACAAACGACGCTTCAAAAAAAAACTGATATGGATATATTGAAGATGAAAGCGGCCGATCTCGAAGGCGATGATTTTGAGATATTTCACGCAATAAAATAAATCCGTTCGAACCCAATATAAGAATAGGGGATAGTCTATTAGTTATGTTTGGCATATTAAAAATTTTTGAACCTTGCGTTTTAAAAAAAAAATCATGTAGTTTTTTTTAATGTATTGTGGTATTTAATTCAATGAAAAAACAAGTTTAAATTATATGTTTTTTTTTTAAATGTAATTTTAAATTAAAAAAATTTAAAAATGATTTGAGTGGTGTATTAGTGGTAGAATGTGGTGATAAGATGACAAGCAGTACTATAGTGGTTAATACTCGCTAAAAGTTTGAAAAACTTGAATTAAGGAAAGTAATTAAGAAATTCAATTTAGAAAAAATAAAGATTTTAAAGTATTAAATTCATATGTATAAATTAATTTACATTTCTTAAACTAAACATCAATATTAATTAATTTACATTAATAGTGTAAACATGTAATATAAACATAAGGTATGAACATAAATATTTTATTTAAAATTGATAATTTTTTATTACATAATAACCAATAATAAATCTAATAA